TCTCTCAGTTTTATAACATGTTGGTTGAGAAGCACAGAGGCACCTCAGACAATAAGCGACAGGAGTGAATACAAGAGTTAGAAGATATTTCACCCATTGAGTGGAGTAAAATATGTTTAAAGACACACACCCAAACCATCAACACCCGATTGAGACTTTAACTGGATAATGCGAACAAATGTCTCCCCTGCAAATAAATAAATTTGATCCTAATATACTGGACAAATGTTGTAAGTGTACCAATCACCAAGCTTCATTGTATCACTGTTTGTGGAAGTGTAAAAAGTTTTGGTGCTCAGTGTTAAAATGCATTTCTCAGGTCCCATGTTTCCCTGTTCCCTGTCTGTATTTTAAGCATTTATCCAGATGACTGTAATTTATCTCATACAGAGAGAAAGACAGTTTACCTTTACTTACTCCAGGCCAAACGTTGTGTTGCAGTGTGCTGGGAGAATGTTGATAGCCCCTCTTTTGACCAATGGTTAAACAATGTAACATCAAGTTTAGTTTGTTTAGGGAAGTTGAGGAAGTGGAGAGAGAGTGAGGTAATGAAAAATACATAACTAAATTTGGGAATATGCAAAATCCAATAAATATATGTTTAAAAAAATGGGATCAAATGATGTGTTGTTGCAGCAGGCTGCTACTAACAAAGTGCCTAAAGATACCACTTAATATTGGTTATTTGCTAAATTATGATGTGTAGACAGAACTCTGGTTCAACACTTGAATTAGGTGCTTTTTACGATTGCATGATTCATACGTCTGAAAATGGTCAGGTAGGAGGGCTGGACTGAAAATGAGTGAAAAAGCAGCCAAAGAAAAACTTTAAGGGAGCTTCAGAAAGACTGGAGAAGTATTGCTCAAGACCACTTTAAATAATTACAATGGAGTCAGATATAAAGAAATGAAAGGTGGCTCAAGACTTTTGCAAAGTATTCTATATTATTTTTTAACCTTAGCAATAATCTGCAACCATGTCTTGACTAATCATTTAGTCCACAAAGTGTAAAAGACGCTGAGAAACCACCTGCAATAAACGTCTTAGAGTCCAAATGGCTCCTTCTGATTTATTTCTTTCCTAACTGAGCTCCAAAATACCAAAACAGACTGTCACAGGACTGCGTCCTAAAGCCCAGAAATTCCTTCATCTCAAAGCTTAAGACATTTTCACATTTTATTAACACCCCACTTACAAATCGTGTGCCAGAGAAGGCATTTGATTGTCAAAGTAGTTCTAGGCTTCAGTCAACTGACTTCATATTTTAATATTAGCCAGCAAAGACAAAGTCCTAAATGTCAGAGTTTCCTATCAGAGTTGCGCAAGAATTGCAGCCACTGTTAATTGTGCCAAATAACTGTTTAAGGCTGTTTGTCTTCATAAAATCCAAATAGGATCAAAGCATGTGATACATACACAAAAAACGGTCCTAATATAATAGTCAAATAACAGGAAATGTATTAATAACACATGAAAAAGCTGCTAATGAGAGCAGAAAATATATAACCAAATTAGCATATGGTAAGTCAAAGCAGGCAGCCTTGAACTGAACCCGAGTCGTACAAACAGAGGGTCCATACAGCACGTCAGCCACTGCTCAAAGGATGACTGTGCTCTTCTGTCACTCATTGTCCTGGAGTCTCCGTCCTATGTAAGAAAGTCTGTTGAGATCCACAAGTGACCTCTTGTTACCCGTCGATGACAAAACAAAGGAATGTAGCGAGGGCCAGGAAAAATGCAGACGGAGCAATAAGAAGACATGACTTCAGTCTGATGCAACAGAACTGACTTCGAGTTTGCGCAAGACAGGACAAGGTGTGATTAAAAAAAAAGCTCCGAGACTGTCGTCGTGTGTAAACTGAGCACAGCATGGTCGTGTTGATGCCTGTGGTGTACCACAAGGTTCAATTTAAAGCCCCATTTTATTTTCCGTCTTCATACTCTCACTTGGCAAGAGTATGTGAACGTACATTTTTAATTGCTGTGCAGATGACACGCACATATACATCTAGGGTTGACACATGGTGATGCAAGAAGCCCAGGTTCACAGAGATGAAGGCCACAATTTGTCAGGCTATCAAAGCAGAGTTCTCCTCAAACACCCTGAGGTGACTGAGGGAGAGGATCAGCGCTAACCCAGAGTTTTGATGGATGCTTGCTCACATCCAAGTTTTTTTGGCTGCACCTCTGCCACCATCTTTCCCTGCTGCTCTGCTTTATTCTCCAGATTTCAACCTCATGCTCTTTTCCAAAATGGAATTCAAGATTTCTTTTGGCACAGTGGAGGAGATCCAGGTGCCTGAGGTGCTTACAAAATGGGCCAAGGAACGGCGTATCCATCCACAATGTGACTAGTTCTGAAGCGATGGAGGCCAAATACAGATAAAAAGAATTTCATTTTTTTGATGGCACCTCATACATTTATGCTGATGTATGTGCTTACTTGACTTTCCTGTCAACCTGGATGACTGATTTCAGAATTAACTGCGGAGTAAACAGATTCATTTGAAAGATTGCAGTAGCATACAAATACACAGCACTAGGTAAACTTATGGAGTATAAAGCTTGTATTGGTAAAACAAACAGCTGCTGCAAACTGGATTAAAGAGTCATACTGTTCACTAGTAATCAGAGCAGACTGTGAAAACAAGAGTGAATCGATGCCTTCGCTGTGGGGAATCACTGTGAGTGAGTCAGGAGCAAAGGATCAAGTAAACAGAGGTAAAAACACAGAGGGAACAGCTCACCCGTGGCTCTGAGGTGATAGTTTGTGTCTGTCCGTTCTCAGTGCGGGCGTCAGGAGGCGGTTCAGGTTTACCCTAGAGCAAAGTGACCAGAGAACATGTGTGACTAGTTACCAGCAAAGGAAAAAATGTGTTAAAGCACAACAGAAACTGTAAGGAATTAGATGCATATATAGCATAAATATCAAGGTAAGGAAGAAATTAATGTGATACTATAAAACGATGCATTCCTAACATAATAAAAACTAACCTGCAGCTTTACATATCCAACACTGTCTCCAGTAGGAACTGGAGCCGGGATGGGAGTCAAGCCGATCCCAGCATACTCGTTGCTGGGATCATCTTCTTCATCAGCAGGTCCCACTGTGAGCATCACCGTGGCTGGAGTAGGAGGCAAGGGGAAAGCAGGCTGAGGGGTTGGAGGCAGAGGCCTCTCCTGGATCCAGCTGCTTTTACGGGAACCCATTCCTCCTCCAGATGACTTCCCATCAGGCACCGGGAGCGCAGGCAACGGCCTACGTGACAGAGATTCTTGGGAAGGCAGACGGGGCCGGCCCTGAGCCTGTAAGAGGAGGGTGCTTTCCTCAAGCGAGCGCTGGACCAGCGACAAGAGCCCTTCGGATGGAGGAGCGCTACCGACGGCAGACAACGCTGGGAGCAGGTCCGATAAGCGTGCCCAGGCCTGCTGAAGGGGTGGCAGGGGATCCCCTGAATGACTGGCTTTCCAGGTGGACAGGATTTCCGCCAGTGAGGTAGCCAGGTCCCGTGACGACAGAGTGGAGGGCGAGTTGGAGACTGTGGTGAGCACAGAGTGGACCAGACTGGAAAGCGAAGCTCGCCACTGCATGTCACCAGAGCCGTTACTAGACACAGAGAGGCGGCGTGTGGAGGTGGAAGAAGATGATGAGGAATGAGGAAGGACTTCGACAGTCAGAGCTGGCATGTCATAAATCCCACCATCGGGCTCAGAGTCACCACGGCTATTATCTCCACCACTGACTCGTTTCTCGGATCCAGGAACACAAGAAACCCGTCCGACCTGAGGAACTTCCTCCCCACAGAGGCTGCTGGTCGACTCTCCCGGTGCCAGAGGGACGCCCGGAAGTGTAGGGACACTGTAGACTTCATCATCAGCTTCGTCAGGCTGAACATCTACTGTGGCCTTAGTCAGAGTGATTGTGGGGACATCATAGACCTATCAGAGAAGAGGGAAAAGCAGATTTGATTGTTTAAATAAATAAAGAAAACATTGCGAAACTTTGAAATTTGAAAAACATATGAAGAAAGGAAGGAAGATACTCCAGGTAGATTCTTTATTATTTAGTCCAATAATGGCATAATAATAATAACATTTCATCCATGCAGTAAATGCAGTAAGTACCAATTATATGCTACATTAAAAAGGGAACCCATATGCACTCTGTAGGTACATCCAGCAAAGAGTTACTGACTCCCACTGATGTGGGAAACACATTTTTATTCATTAAGTCTTAAAGCGAGCCTGCAGTCCACATACAGTGACTGCAGGCAAGGAGGGAAAAAATAACCCAGCAGCTGGCACACATTTTCAAGCAACTTTAAAGTGGAGACCACTGGGGGCAGGGATGTGGTGGTGGTGGTGGTGATGGCGGTGGTGTATCCTTGGCATGGTTGTGACAGATGGGTGTGACTGGGAGAAAAATAGAAGCAGCATTTGTACTGGATAGACTGGCTCCAGGAGCACACAGAGACAGGTGTGGCCTCGCCTCGAAGGGGGGCAGGGAGACAGGCTAATACTGGAATGTGGGAAGAAATAGTGGCGGGGTATATGATAGTCATCTCTTGTTCTTTGCTTGTGTAGGCATGCATTCAGCACAGCAGATTCCCACAGTTCCCAGCAAATTAATATACTAGGGTTGGGGGTAATCAGAGCATTTTGATTCTGCTGGATGTTTGTCAGGTCAAAATATGACAGGAACAAAACAGAAACACAGAAGCCCTGTAAGTAATTCTCTGTCAGACGCTCTCTAAAGTTGATTTTGCGTTTTGTGTGCCGGGAGATGAAGCACCAACTGCAACGTACCACTGTTTCAGTAGTTCCTCTAAGTGATATTTAACACTGGTTTAATTAATTAAATAAATGTGTGTGGACCTAGATATGAAAACAGGTGGATGGATTGACCACAGGAAAACAGTTTGTCCCAAACATTTAATCATTATAAAACACTGAACTTCCAAGCTACCACAGCCAGCAGTGGAGCTCATCGTGGCCACACAAGGAAGGCAAAGAGGATATAAAGCCACTTGACAGCTCACAGTCAAACAACAAATAAAGCAGTTGCTTTAGACACTAATTCAGAGGTTTATCTATAAGTCAGCCTCGTGTGCAAAGTCTTTACCTCTGACTCAGCGTCGGCCTGCGGTGGCACACTGCGGGGGGTGTCGTAAATGCTGTCATCTTCTCCAAGTGCAGAGGGGACTGGATGCTGCCACCTGCCCTTCGGAGGTGTATCGTATACCTACCAAGGCAACATTAGAATTAAAAAAAGAAAAAGAAAAATCATAAAAAAAATATTTAATTTAACACTAAAATATTCCCAGTAAATATGATGGAAACTTTAAAAGTTTATTGCCAAACAAGTACCATCCAGGAGTAATAAAAGGATTCATGTACACGGTGAAGGGCTTTTCCTGGCTCAAAATAGACGTCTTTAAAGTTTTGGTGCGGGGCGTTGACAACGGACATGAGAACAATCAGTCCACATATAGTTAGAGAACAGTCTTTGTTACCTTAGTTAACACAAGTTTATGCAGTTTCCTGATATTTGATAAACAAAACTGTTGTAAATTAAGCCATGCTTAAAAAAAAAAACTGACTTAAAGTTATTTTGTAACACTTCTGGTGATTTTTCCACTTCTTTCACAAACATCTTCTGTATGCAGAGGAAAAAAAACCTGCTTATGATGTCATCATATTGAGAACTAAAGCAACATTACAGGACGACCCAACCTGTTTAACACACCACTAAAAATGCCTCCTCCCCCACCCCCTAGATGAAACCCAGCAGGGTTTCCAAAGAACGAAACAAAAAACAAACATTTCACAAAAACGAAACACTTTTTTAAAATCTGATATGAGTCACATTTCTTTTTATCAAATGGTCAAAACTGAACAGGAAAGGCAGATTTTTTTCTGTCCGGCAAGGAAACAGGCTCACTGCCCTCACAGCATGCAGAGCTGCTGAGCCAGGATGTTATTAACAGGTAATAACTTTATTCTTACTTTATAAATACTGAAGAATTAGATAGAACAACTTTTAATCGCTTTAAGTATAATCGTCACATACCTGATCGTCAACAGGATCTGAATAATCCTGATTCTCTCCCTTTTGATTCTGCACACTGCTGCTTTTCTCCACGCCATTACTCGTCCTTTCCTCCTTTCCCTGGGGGGCTGCCCTCTGTTTGCCCTCTTCTTGCTGCAGGCTTGCAGAAGTTGCTTGAGCAGCAGATTTGGGGACAGAGTTAGAGTCAGCTGACAGCTGTGATGGTTGCGTGTCCTTCCTGGTGACGCTCCTTACTGGAGGTGCTGGTGGAGGTGGTTTGCGGGCGAAATTTGGCGATCCAGGAGCCCTGACCTGGCCAGCTCTGATAAGCAATGGGGATCCCCGGTGAGAGGGAAGGCCGGGCTTGCCCCTGGCAGCGGCAGGGGTGGGCGAAGCTCCCTTGAGCAGGGCTCGAGGAGACGCTTGGGCAGAGGTTATCTGAGGCGGGTAGTGGTGAGCCAGAATTGTCGCTGGTGTCCTCGGAAGGCTCACTCCCGCAGAAGTGGGTGTTTGGTACATCCCAGGTGTGTCCTGGTTCGCTTTTGATTGGGGGGTAGCTGTAGTTCCATTGGTTATCAATGGTCCATTAGAGCAAAAAGCACTGGCCACAGAGCCTCCTGTTGGGGATTGGTAAACATCATCGCCTGCAAGAGGCGTGCCTTTGGGCACCAAGTAACAGTCATCCGAGGCCCCCGTGGTTATTGTTTCTCTGGGAACAAGATATGTAGCGTCCTCTGCTTCATCGGCTGTCCTCGGCACTCCGCTGGGGGCAAGATACACAGACTCTGAAGCCAGGTGAGCTCCTGGCTGCCTCGCATGCTGAGCTGCTGCAGGCGCGGGACTCACTGGGCTCTGATAAACCGCTCCTGTCATGTCTGTTCCTCGTCCCCTCAAAGAGGGTGAGCGTGGACGCCCCACCACCCCGATATCCCAGTCAGGTCTGGGCCGGGTGCCAGAGCTAGAGTGCGAGCGTGGCCGCCCGCCCTCAGTTCTGCGTAGCTCCCCTGGTCTCGACCCCGCTCCTCGTCCCTCGCCCACCGCTGGCGGGGAGCGATAAACTCCGTCCGCATCATTCGCGGTCCGAGCCAGCGGGGCACCAGGCGACAGGTAGACCGAGTCTTCACTGGAGCCACGACAGGGGTCCGAGCCAGGGGGCGGGGCGGTCTGAAGGAGTCGAAGGCGATTAGCGGGGGCGATCCCCTGTCTGCCATGCAGCGAGCAGAGCCACCACCCGGGCCCGCCGCTCTGCTCCTGTTCAAGAACCATGAGGATGTCGCCCTTTCGGAAAGCCAACTCTTCTGGGCTTTCTGCCGTGTTGTCAAACAACGCCTTTGCCAATACCGTCTGTGCAGGAGGAAGAGACGAGAGCAGCAGTGATCAGCACTGACCCACAAAAACACACACAAAAACAACAACTAAAATGGCCATATGAAAGCACAAATTAATCAACAGCCTGAATTCACACTCCCTGCACGCCACAAACAAACAAGTACATTGACGTGGCAGTGCCAAGTGAGGAGTATAAAAAGGGTGATTGTTTCGATGCTGAATGAAGAGTGAAAGGGAGTGAATAGGGAAGATCTCGTTAAATGTCTGTGTGAAAGACCTGGTTGGGGGGGGGGGGGGGGGGGGAGTGAGCAAACGAAAACAAAACAAAACCAAAAAAGAAAAAGATGGAAAATTTAAAAGCCAAATCAAAATTCACAGCTGTGCAATTCATCCTGAGGAAGGGAGAAAGAGGGCCACAGTCAGGGAGGATCAATGATCAAATGGACACAAGAGCTTAATGGTAATGAGCGGGATGAGAGGGAAGGGGGAGGGGATGAGAGGCACATCTGTCCCTTGCTGTTTAGGGTTTAATTGCCAACCCAAAGCCAGAGAGTCAGGCCCCCTTTCATTCTCTAAACCAACCCCCCGGGGACAACCGAGCTCCAATGAGCCATGTGGGACCTCTTTTGCAATGGAGGCACTGAGGATCCCAATATAAGACACAGAGAACAAATAAACCAGTTTAAAAAAAAGAAAGAAAGAAAGCGAGGAAAGCAAATTATTCCTTGACTTTCAAAGTATCCGAGCTATTGCGACACTGCCCCACGAACACAAAGAGAAAAACTGTACTCACCGAGACAGACATGATTGCCAAGTGATCAGCTTAGTCTCCGAGAAATTATCACTCAAGTGTCCACACCAGTCGGGTCATTTTTGGGAGGTCAGCTGTCACGGATATGCCGGTGGGCAGAGACCCTCGGTGCCGAGGCACAGCTGGCTCTGTTTAGGACACATCGCCCGGTCTGGGGGCTCCGTCGTCCCCGGTCTTCATAAGGCTCCTAAAATCCACACGGAAACGCTTTTTTAAATGTTTATTTTCTCACGAGTCACATGTAATAGGTATAGACAGCAAAACTTCACCCGTGCGCTCTGAGTCTCGCGTGAAACTGAAAGGTAGGCGGACGGAGGTAACACCTGTCTATGCCTTCCACGCCCAGTAACGTTTCTTTAAAGGCAACCCTATCGGGGGAAGCCCGCAACAGCTTAGCATCGTTTGCAAAAAAGAAGCGGTGTGCATTGAGCGTCTAAAATACGGCGTGCAGCTGTGTATGAAACCGCTATCTAGGTCAAACGATAATTCATTTGAACAGTAGCCAGTATAAATAGACGTGCAGTCGCGGCCTAGCCACTAAACACCAGCCAACGCGGGCTAACGCTGCGCTAGCTAGTGCTGGTTTAGTTCAAAACAACAATGGCACCGCCGTATAAAGCGGCCAAAGGCGATTTATTTACCGAACAGCGTTAGCACTCAGGACCGCCGTAATGAAAATTATTACCTTTCTCTTTTCTTATCGCCGATAAACTTCCCATTGGGGTACAGCCTCTGATACGTAAATCCCTTCTTTTCATGCGTGAAAATCTGCGGTCATCGCCGTTCAATCATCTTCGATGACAACAAAATTGTCTCCGCCCCTTTCTTAGGTCGCGGAGCTTCGCTGATCTACAAGTAACACCAGGGCGTAAATTCCAGCGTTTACACCAATCCCGACGTGTGTAAAATCGCGCAGATAGCCGTCGCCTCAAAAATAGAGCTCTTCTGATTGGCCCGTTCCTAGAAGTTGCGTTTAAGGACGACTGACTCTGTAAACCAGGTAAACGATTTTCAAATGGGGAAAAATAACGGTCAGCTGCTGTTGGCAACTGCTGTTATCTTTATTTGCCATAGAAAAAAGATTAATTTGCACAATTACTAGTATTATTAAAGTGAGCATGGTTTCAGCACTTTTATATACATATGCACACAGCCAATTGCGAGCGAAGTAGGCTGTATGCTTTTATTTTGACAGGGGGACGTTTACCCGGAAAATATCGACTGTAGCGACACGAATCGTCAGTAGTCAAAGGTCTTTGAGAGTCTTTTATCAAACTATTCCTCTGCACCTCTTCGTGTTGAGCTTTTCATGCATTGCAGGGTGAGACAATCCTCTTCGTCACATTTGCACAACTGCATTTGCTTTGTAAAGTGTCGGACTGCGAGTGACAATAAAGTTGGGAATGAGAGCTCAACAAAGTGCATGGCCTCTGCCCTACTTAACTGCTGTTTGCGCTGAAAACATATCCGTGCGTGCTCTCTGTCCACAGGTGATGCTGAGGAGTGTATTCAGGTGCCTTAGGACCAATCTTGTAGCTGGCCAAAGAAATATGTCTCAAAGCAGTCTTTCTGGCAAAGTAGCCATAGTCACTGCCTCCACAGATGGGTAAGAATGACGTTATTGACCCCTGATTGTTGGTGCTGTCCATGAAAAAACAAACGGTAACCAAGCAAGGACTGTGTTAGTCACCTGTCTCCAATCGTGACAAATCACTGATTATTGGAGAATTAGTAATAGAAGAGCTTAGTCCATGTTTGTTTGATTGTTTTGTGTATGTTCTAAAATGCTTATTTCTCAGATTCAGCACATTCATGAGAGTAATTACTGCTGTAAAGGGGTTAAAGCGATGCATCATAGAGCTCTTCTCCCCCCTCCTCAGAATCGGGCTGGCTGCGGCTCAGGCTCTGGGAAAAAGAGGTGCCCATGTGGTTGTGAGCAGCCGGCGGCAGGCCAATGTAGACAAAGCTGTGGCACTGCTGCAGAGCCAGAGCATCCAAGTGACTGGAACAACCTGTAATGTCGGGAAAGGGGAAGACCGAGAACAACTGGTTCAGATGGTAAGAAGCCGTCCATCGTGCTCAGAGGTGTAGAGCAGCACATAAACTATACAAGACCAAGCTTTGGCTCTTTATTATAACACAACTATTAACTGGGTGCTCATTTCTACATATATTTTTACTCTTGGACTCTATTAGAGTAGCTTCATGGTTCAAAATAATTATTATATGCCTAGCCCCTCAGTTGATCCTCTGTGAAAAAACCTATGAAACTTTATCTGGCATGAGCCACTTGAGAGGTGGAGAAAAGTTCAGCCAACGTGCACCTAACAATTTTTATCAATCATTAACAATAAAAAGGAATCCAAGCTGGATTTTAGTAGAATAAAGTTCAGCCTGATATTTTCCCTGTTTTTTCAATGTAGTTCCACTTAAAGTTGCTATTTGTGAAAATGTGTTTTTATAATGTTTTTATATGAAGCCGAAGTCCCTCGCTGCCACATTCCTCTGCCCTGTCGGCAACAGGAACGCTTCCAGTTACAGTTTCCCTCCTTTTCTATGCAGGAAATAAGTAACTAATTGGCAATGAGTTAAAATCTGGCTATAGTTCCACCCCAGATGCTTCTTACTTCCGCCAGGCTTAGTGTGAAGGGCAGAGTCAGAGCATGCTGCTAACACAAGCACTGAAACTACAGCTGTGCGCGACTGGACGACTCAGAGAACCACTATGACTGTTTCAAATACCTCCCGTTTCTAATGTGGACTGTATGTAAAGCGTTTTCAAGATTTAAGTTGCTGTCACAGCTCTTTCCCACGAAGAGCTGAACCCACTCTTATGGTCTTACCAAACTGTCCAAAAACTGTAATTTTGCCTTTAGCTGCCTGTCTACATCTGTTATTAGTTACTCTGTAACTTTGGTGTTTTAACATATTTAGCTCTGACGCAAACTCATTAAAGTCCCCGATCATCCACACCACACCTGCAGGGCTTTCCCCACAGTTTACGAGCCACTGTGGCTCAGGTGGTAGAGCGGGTTATCTACCAATCAGAGAGTTGGTGGATCGGTGTTCGACTGCACCCGCTGAGTGTGTGTGAACAGATAAAAGCTCGTATGAATGTGTGTGTGTGACTGGGTGAATGAGTCTGTATAAGTCTATGCTATTTAAGTCCACTTATCATGCACTGCTGTGCTTTCATCTGATTGGCTGCTTCTCAAAAACAGACTATTTGGACAGTCTGGAGCTTATCTCTATTTACCTCAGTGTTCACAGTCAGAGCTTTGTGCCTGAGATGTGCATGTTAAGGATATCTGTGCTCAGTGACATCACAGAGAGCTAAAAGCAGAACAAGCTGCCTGAAGCTGAGCGTTTCGGGCGGTCTGAGCCTGAGCTTCTGGCTCACAGTGATTACTTGTACATATGCTGGTGTCATTATTTGAAACTCTCCATGTTACTGTGAGCAAAAAGTCCCCTTTCATCATCCTCAGTGGTGGTGGAAAAAAGTAAGTGGGAACCATTAGCTGAGCCTCTTTTGGTGGTTTGGTGGTTACCTAGAGCACTTTCTGTAGCTGCACGTGCTCAGGGGGGATAATGGACCCCTCTGTCTTAAAGAGGCACTCCAGCTCAGCCATATTAGGATGTCTGGTCTGTGATGTCATTCTACAATAACCGATGGGTTTAAGCTGAAGCAGATTTTCTTGGTCTGCTGTATTTTTAAGGTTGGGGTCGCTGTCATGCTGCATCACTCAACTGGTCATGAGCAATTCAGACAATTCATCAGACTGCAGACGTTTCCCAGAAGCACTGTGGACTGCTAAGGTGCTCTGTGGAAAACTTTAGTGGAGGTTTTTTTTACATTTTTTTTGTGGTTTCTTCTGTGGAGTCCTGCCACGTAAAACATGCCTGCATGGTAGACTCATTAAGACAGATGTGAACCAGCTCCAGCCATTCCTTTAGCTTTTCCTCTGAGCTCCTTTTGGACTTTGTTTAGTATTTAGTGGCGTACCTTTGACCTTATTGTATTCAACGCTTGTTTTTAAGGACGACAGCGGCCACACAAGTAAAACGCTTTGAGTTTTAGACAGTGTATCTGAACAGTGTCTTTTACACGACTTTGTAAGAGTTTCATGAAAGCAAACAGTTCATCTTTTTGGCAAAGCGTGGTTCACATCAGCAGCTGCTTTTGTGACTCAAACTGCATTAAGAGGTGAAGTGCACGTGTCTGTTAAAATGTCCTCCACTTGTTGGCGTCACTGTGTAATAGCGTGAACGAGTGCTTGGCTCTGTGTTTGGTACAGACTCTGGATCGGTGTGGGGCCATTGACATCCTGGTGTCCAATGCAGCAGTCAATCCTTTCTTTGGAAACATCATGGACTCCACAGAGGAGGTCTGGGATAAGGTACGTACAAAAATTGAGCCCACACCAATCATTTATGATGTACGACATAAATTTGCATTTTTTTTTAAATGAAGGATACAGTAGCACTGATATGTTGTCATAAAAAAACAACATAAATCCAAAATGTGGTTCTGAAGAGCTGTTTACGTCACTCTGAGATCACTCTGTTATTTAAAGTATTCACTGTCACTGTGTCGACATTTTCAGATCCTAGATGTGAACGTAAAATCAGCCTTCCTCATGACCAAGCTGGTGGCGCCTCATATGGAGAAGAGAGGGTGAGTGACAATGGCACCAAAAGGGGCGTCCATAAAAACCTGCCTGCTGTAATATTTCTAACACCTCTCACAGGTCTGTGTTTTTCTTTCAGAGGTGGAAATGTCATATTTGTGTCATCTGTGGCTGGATACCAACCAATGCAGGTCAGTGAGGAATTTCTCCTTGGCAGGAATTCGTGTGGTGCTGTGACTGAATCTCATCGGTGCGGTCAGGATTGGTTGGTCGCCTCCTTACATCACATCGAGACATAGAGATGGAAGTGAGAAAGCAATTCTCTGGAGAAAAGCTGTAATGTTAAGCATCTATGTTACTCACAGACTCCAGTATCTGCCAGTGTTTGACACAGCATTAGGGGTGTGGTGTGATAATCTTGAGGTGTGGAGCCTGAGCTTTTATGGCTTTTGAAGTGGGAGAAAAGTCTTAGAAACCCTGTTTGGTAAGGTAATCCTAGTGTAGTGGTTTATACATTTACCTAACCGTACCGGTTTGGTTTCAGGAGAACATAAAATTCCCTTGGCGGTTGTGTCTGGAACGGCATCTGGCATAAAAATGTGCCAAGTCAAACATGCAGAGGCACCCGCTGTGGCGCCGTGTTAATAAGGAAACAGCTGAAAGCAGCTAATAATGGATATATGCACTTAAAGCCAGTGAGACATAAACCTGAATGTAAAGAAGTGACATGCTCTGTTTTGTTTCTGCAAACCTGTTCACGTGGTGTGCATGTGCACCTCTCCAGGCTTTGGGTCCTTACAGCGTGAGTAAGACGGCCTTGCTGGGTCTAACCCGGGCTCTGGCCCCTGAGCTGGCTCAGAGCAACATAAGAGTGAACTGCGTGGCCCCTGGAATAATCAAGACCCGCTTCAGCTCTGCGGTGAGGACACGCGCTGGAGTCCTTTGCTAAAAATGTGGTTTTTGTTGCATTTCAGTCGTGCTTTCTCTTATTAGTGTTGTACTTTTTATAATAAACTCTTTTGTTCCAGCTGTGGCAGAATGAAGGCATCGTGGATGAGTTCAAAAAGCAGCTGTGCATTAAAAGGTGAAGTTCAAGGTCACAGGAAAGCTTGTTGGTAATATTCAGAGTCCAGGATTTGACACGTTGAATTTGCTTCTCCTGTCAGAGTTGGAGAACCGGAGGAAATCGGAAGTGTGATCGCGTTCTTGTGCTCCAAGGAAGCGTCCTACATCACCGGAGAGACCATCACAGTGACCGGAGGGATGAACTGTCGACTTTGAATGCATCGTTTTTAATTGGATTTCTTCTATTTTTCTGAAATGCGGGCAGGAAACAGCTGCAACACACTAATATAAACCAATATAATGAAGCAGAGAGCTCTGGGTTACTGTGAGCGTCTTGAGTTTCCAGGTTGATTTTTGTTGTGTAAAGGTTTCTAATGAAAAATCTGATGTCTTTGTAAAAGAAAATAATTTAAAATGAGGAAATGTGTCATTTTAAACTGCAGCAGCTATGAGATAAAAGCTTTTTCAGTGCATAAACATATTCATGATTTACAGGCCAGGGATGGTTTTATTAACAGTCATTACATGAGCTGAACGTCAGGAGCCGTTTGAGAGCTTCGCCTTCATCGATGAACCAAATGGAGCGTGCACCAGTCTCATCATCAACCAGTTTTTATTTTGTATTTAATTTCATATATTTCATACATTTCATACAAAAATCACAAACTTTATTAACAGAGATATTATTACATATTGCAAGTTAAAAATATTTCACATTTGTAACAGACAATCCAGATATGTTTTTAAAAAATGCAATTTAAATGACTTAAAAAAGCTGTATGACACTGCCTGTAACCGTGGCTACGTTTATCCACGATGTCAAAGCACCTGTTCAAGTTTTAATCGCCCTGAGTCAGGTTTATTATCAAGCAAATGGAAGATAAAAGTGTCCATCAGTCTCGATAGCATTTAAAAACCTGTTATTCTTTCCGACCATGTCGCCGGTGGAGGACAAAAATCATTTCATCACCTCCGTTTGTGTCCAGCAGACAATAAGCGGCGCCGGGTCATCGCAGGTTTCCAAAACTCCCTCAGGGTGGGCACGTAGGTGCCGTGTTTGGTCTTGTAGTAGCGTTTCATAAACAGCTGGGGGAGACAAAGGGATTCAAAGCACTAAGAATAAGAGTTTACTGTGTTACAGGCATCAGTTACAGCAGGGACGTCAAACTTATTTTACACTGTTTTAGTCCTGAGTGAGCCGGACCAGAGTCTTTCTATCAGTGTAAACACGTTTAATTGCACATTTAACCCCTGAGATGTTAAATTAGAAAAACAAGTCTCAGCACATCTCAGTTGTTCAGCTATGAGAGAAATGTCAGCCTTAATCTTTGGGCTTCAACTGTAAATTAATGTATAAATATACAGAAAAGGTCTTGTAATTATAAAACAATGTTTTTGTTTTATATATTTTTTTAATTTCTGTGAATGAATTCTAAAGAAAAACAAAGAAAACAGCAATGTGTTGTCATTTAATTTTTTTATCTATTAATTACTTTGGTGAAGTCTGAATGGCCATGACGGCGCTCTCTATCAGCAGGAAGAGCTGTAAAAAAACTCATGAACATGTATTTGAGCCTGCAATTCATGCCCTCCACATTTTACAAAGCCACCCGATGTGCCAGATTGAAGTCCTTGCCAGGCTGATTTTGGCCCCCGAGTCTTATGCTTTACACTCCCATTTATTCCATTTTGTCTGAAACTGCACATCATTCAGGTATAATCAAAGCCAAGACTGGATGTGTTCTGCATACGCACCCTGACTTTGAAGTTCTTCGTCGCTTCATCCTCTGAATCAGCCACGTAGTCGTCATTTTCTGCACCGGCCAGCACCTCTGAACAGAACAGTAAACACACATAAGCTCAAACCTTTGCAGGTGATACATTTCTTACATAATTACACCCCACATTCACCTGTGTCACTCTGCTGCTGAGAGGGAGAGCTTCTCATGCTGTGTAGTGCAGGATGGTTTCTGTTGAGGCGAAACAACAGTAGCTGTTAACTGGTGACTAATCACGGGGGGGGGCATCGAGCTGACCTGCTTAGCTTCGTGCACTTCTAATTGAAGTCTAAAGGCAACCAGAAAACACTGAAGTACAAATGTTGATCAGTGTGTGTGATCTAGCTGCACATAGTTAAGTCATTAATATCAGACAAAAGAAACCAGAAATCTGTGGAGCTAAATCAGATGTTTTTATTGTATTCAGACAGTTTATACCATGTTTAAACGAGTTGACTGAACCACAATATCTATTTTTACTTCAAACATGTTCTTAAACAAATATGCAGCCATAGCATTACCCATATATTACTTATTCACACAGACCACAGTGCTTGGTTTATTGCCATTATGCACTTTAGTCCCTTACTCTTTGTCTTGCGAGCCGGGAGACTCTGTGTCAGACGACAGATGGCTGCTTGTCTGTCTCTGCGTTGACGTTGTGGCCGGTGACTTCCTCCTCTGCTTGTTTTGTGCCTGGTAAGAGGATGTTTCCTCTGGCCCAGATGTACTAGCCCTGAGAGAAGCAGCTGACATTTCTTCGATGACAACCCTGGGCTCCATGATCAGACAATCGACAAAAACAGAGTAGAGGTGTTGATCTTCAGGGTGATATAGTGTTTTAACACCTAGCTTTCTCATCCGGGCTGCCAGGACTTTCCTGCTGCATCCCTCTTTTCTTATAGTTTCTGCTCGGCCTTCCTTCCTCCTCTGGCCACCTTTACTCTGCGTCTGCCCGCTCAGTCTCTTTTCCACGGGTGTTGTTACACTTAGAACTTCTTCCTCCTCCAAATCGCTTTCTCCTCTGTCAGAGTTCTTGCGCTTCACCCCACTCCTTTGACTTAGGGTGCATCCCTCCTCCTCCAGCTGCTCTCGCCCTTCTTTCGCTCCTTTATCTTTGGCTTTTGGCCTCTGTTTCACTGAGGTGAATTTGGAGTTCAGCTGCTCATGTCCAGCATTGTCAGCTGGACCATCACTTCTCTGTGTTCTTTTAATGCCAGAGTTCAAGACCGGGACGTCTTCATTCGATATTAGTCCAATAACAGGTGCGATAAATGAAGGTTTGCTTTTTGGCTCGGCGCCCTCAGATTCAGCCACTGACAACTTCCTGGCTGCTGTCGGCTGATCTGATGGGACTCTTCCCGATGGTGGCAGAGAGAGTGAAGCCAGGATGGAGTCTCCCATATTCGGAGGTAGTGACGCTGTAAAGAGCAAAGAGTATTATCATGAGCTGACACTCAAAGTCTTCCCGTCACAGTCGTCACAACACAGATCTTATCTTTTTCAACCTGCTGACTCCAGGTGGCCAAGGCAGGTTTCATGCTGAAGTAAAATCTTCAGGAGCTGAGGCTGCGTGGCTGCCCGTGCACACTCCTCCAGGACAGGGGGGGCGTCACTGAGCCACGCTGCAGTCTGACAAAAAAATAAAATAAAACCCAAATATTAGATCAATTCTTGCACACAGAAACTGTTAAAGCAGTGACGATAAGAGCAATAAATCATGGCTAACGCTATGGAAACAGCCGTTTTCTCATTACCTGTACTAGGTTGGGAACAGGAAGCAGCTGGTCCAGTCGAACCAAAAACTCCCACAGCAGCTTCTCCAGCTCCTGGTCAAACGTTGCTCCATAATCCACAGGAAACACTTCCTGTCAGGAGAGGGCGTGAAAGTTCATCAGCAGGTGGAGGTGCTGAAGTGTGTGCTGTAGAGGTGAGGTACTCACTTTGTAGAACTTTTCTCTAATCGCTGGGTCTGTGAGGAACGTGTGAATCAAAGAATGGAAATCTCTCACTGTTCTCATTAGTTTTACATCCTTACTCTGGGAAGAAAAAGAAGAAATTACATTTATTTTCTCCACAATCAGGAAATCTGCATGTAAGCAAATAAGACATGTAGATTGGTAACATAAAAATCCCCATTTGGCACATCGTCTTTTTGAATACATAATCTTTGCATCACAATGCAAGTATTCAGCTACAAGTACTGTGCTGCAACACACTATGAGCTCTTCCCTAAATATCAAAGGTTCAACTGAGCAATGTTTAATTCCGAAATCAGCTCCATGTTTTGTGGTCAGTGCCTGAAATGAATCAATCACAGAGCAGAAGGAATATGAAAACACTGAGGAAAATCAGTATCAAATTTTCGCCACAGAATAAAAGTTGTCAAAAATGGCAGTGTGATCTGTGAGGTCACTTACTGAAGAAGTTCCAGCAGGTACACGGACTCGTTCCAGGTGTTCCTCAATCACCTCAGCATCAGGCTGTGAACTGCACAGCTCCAAGATCAACTTGTTAAACAACAAACAAACAAACAAACAAACAAACAAACAAACAAAAAAAGAACGAGGTAAAGATCATCTGACTACAGAGAAACACCAGGTACAGTCCCCGCCTCCACTCTCATAGCCTCCGAGAGGACCACCATCATATTTTTGTAATTTTGCATCACTGGTGTGTTTTTCCTCTCTTCTATAAAAAGGTCTGCATGGTGTGAGAATGAGTGCGTGGTAACTGCTACTGTTGTTACAAGTCAGTTTGTGAAGTTTCTTCCCTCCTAGATATTCAAGCATCAACTCTTAGTGGTGTTATTGCAAAGTGAAAGTGTTTATGGACCACAGCAACTCAACCATGAAGTGTCAGACCACTTTAAGGCACAGAGCGGCATCGTCAAGTGCTGAGGGGCATAACATAGGCACTAACGTCTGTCTGCTGAAAGGTTCGTAACTGAAAGGTTCAAAGATTTAGTCTGTCTTTATGGCTTTTTTCCCCACTGGTCTAAAATTCAGTCCATCTCAAGGCACTTTATACTGTAATATAAAGACCCTACAGTATTCTGGATCAAAATGAGTAACATAATCTTAAAAGTAGTGACAGTGTCTATCTCCCAAATCCAAACTGGGAACTGGTTCCTCAGAAGAGGGGCCTGAAAGCTGAAGGCTCTCCCTCCCATTCTACTTTTAAATACTGTAGGAACCACAAGTAAACATGCACTCTCACAGGGAAGTGTACTGTAGGGATAATATAAGGTCTATTAATGACAAGCTGTATGCAAGAAGAAGGATTTTAAATTCTGGATTTAACAGGGATCCAACAAAGGGAAGCCAATATAGGAGAAATATGCTCAGTCTTTCTAGTCCCTGTCAGTACTCTCACTGCAGCATTTTGGATCAACTGAAGGGTTTTCAGGGAGTGTTTAGAGCAACTTGATAATCATGAATTATAATTTTAAAGGCTAGAAGCAATAAATGAAATAAATGCATGAAAAAGGTTCACTGAGACAGAGTGCTTCCAATTTTAAAGATGATGAGCAGATAAAAGAAAGCAGTCCTGCATAATATTTCAATTTGCAATCTGCAGGACATATCCTGGTCAGAAATGACTCCAAGTTTGTTCATAGTGTTACTTTTCCTAATCGATGCTGTGCTATCTTCCAGCAATGAGGTTAGGATGGTGTGCTTCCTTTTTAATACTATGTCAAAGCCCTAATAAACATGCAAACTCCAGGCTAAAGCTGCAGATGTGGAGACTGGGACTGTGCCATTCTTGGACACAGTACAGTGGTTCAAGCACACATTTAAATCCGATTTCCAAATCAAATCACTTTTATTGTCACATCACATGTGTGCAGGTACATGTGAGTGAAATTCTTGTGTGCGAGCTTCACAAGCAACAGAGGTGAAGCTTCTCCTGTTATACTCACTCTTGCTCTCAGCCCCACTGTCAGCCTGCCCTGGTGTCTCACAGTGAGCAACCCAGGCACAGCCTCACAGGAAGATGTCACGAACTCCTCCACAACCCCATACTGCATCACATCCCTCCGCTTCAGCACCTTCCACAGGGCTGCAGACACCAGACGCACAGGCGGGGCAAGCAGCTGGAGAGCAGCGAAAGGAAGGCTGGCATCTGCGCAAGAAACAAAAATAGACTACAGTACTGAATCACACTTGCATGAGCTCCTGTCAGTAAAAGTTGGAAATAGTGGCATCAATCACCACACGTCCAGTTTAAACGTTACGCTTACCGCTTCCCTTTGGTTTTCTGGGGGCCATTCCACTGAAAAAGTCCAGAAGGAAACCGGCTCTAAAGTTGACGTTAGCTTAGCAACTTGGAGAGCTTCTAACCGCACTGAGCTTCAAAACAGCACGGGCACTAACACTGAATGCTGAGGAACTTATTTAGGAATAATAACACATACTAGCTCGAGTACTGTTTGGAGTCACCTGTTGATAAACATAAATGGCACTGCTGTTGTTCCCGCGATGCAAATAAAGCTCGTTCACGTCCATCAAAAGTTTGCCTTCTCGTCCTCCCGCCTTCACTGACAGGCTCGCAGTCATTCGCAGTGTTCATTGGAATCTGCCGAATGGGCGGTGCTTCAGATCAAAACACAATACTCCACCCCTGGCGTGTGTTGAAACGTTTTACACAAGCGCACCCAATCTGGTTTCAGGAAATGACGTATTGACGTTGCCTGCCAGCCAACACTTCATGATTTAAAGAAAAGATTTAATGGAAAAAAGGTAAATAGAAATGAAAATTATATATTAGCTGAGGCGAGGAATACCAGAAAAGATTCATTTAGATTAATTTAATAATTAATTTAGTTTATATCTTTATAACGACCCGAAAGTGTTTATTTACTGTTTCTAAATTGCGGTTTTTAGATGATAGTTTTATTTATTAAGGCGAAAAAAAATCTGTACAAATCTACCTGATCCTCTGAAAAAAATAACTGCCACCTAAACCTAATAACTGGTTGTGCCCAACTTGGCAGCAAAACTGCAGTCAAGTGTTTGCAATAACTTGCAATAAGTGTTTCACGTGACATTGGAGGAATTTTGACACACTTTTTCTTTGTTCTTCTTTTTTTAAGCCATTCAGAGGTCGAATTGCTGATGTGTTTTGGATCATTGGTCTTTTCCATAGCCCAGGTGAACTTGTCCTTCAGTGAGTCTCATCAGGATTTTCTGGTAAAGAGCAGAACTCATGGTTATAACAATTACAGCAAGCCATCCTGAAGCAGCAAAGCAACCCCAGACCATCACACTACTACCACCACCATGTTTGACTGTTAGTATGAACTTGGAAGGTTCATACTGGTCCAAGTTTTCTCCTTTTGTGGAAAATCGCTCTCAGTATGGTTCACTGGAGTCCCAAAGCCTTAGAAATAACTTTTCAAACCTTTCCATACAGACAGATGTCAGTTTGCTTCCCAGCTGTCCTTGAGTCTCTTTAGATCGTGGCATAATGTGTTACTTTTTGAGATCTTTTAGCCTACTTCACTTTGTCAGACAGGTTCTGTTTAAATGATTTATTGAACACCTTATGTCAGCCAAAAATTACAATAAGATTACAACGCACTATAGTTATCTCCTACAACATAAAACAGTCTCCAGTATACAGGCTTACAGACCCAACAAAGCTAACATCTAATAATTCTTTAAAGAAAAAAAAAAGAGACTTCTTAAAAAACTGTTTATGTTCAGTTATAAAAACACAGGAAACAACCTCTGAATTATCAGCTGTAGATATCATTATTCTGCTTTTCAGATAAAAGAAGGCACGTCTGAGTCAAACACAATCAATATGAACTTTACCCTGTTCTGTTCTGTATCTGAATTATCACCAAGTCCCGGGGTAAAGTCCAGCAACTGGGTCAAACACAAGCAGCACGAACACTAATACAGTGTGTGACACCAAAACAGCCCCAAAAACATCAGGCTGAGAGACGAGGAGGGAAGAAACTAACCAGCATGGATACAACCTCTTCATTCATCAAGTAAGTGACAAATGAGTTTTAACGTACCAGTTAGTACACTGCTGCTGTCTGCAGCTTGATACGATCGTAAAACAGGCATAAGTAACTTAATGATTCGACAGGTGTTCCCAAAAATGTACAGTACTGTGAGTTATGTAAGACTGAGGTATGAAAAAAACTTTTTTCTCATTTCAGATTAAAATGTTTAAGAAAAACCGTAAAATAAAATAAAAGCAGGTAAAATCAGTGTGACAATGGAAGAGTGAAATTGAGAGGATGATTTAATGTAAATAAAAATACAGATGGTGCATAAAATAGAAATAACAATAAATAGGGAATGTATGTGAAAATGGTCTCTATCGCACAAGGATCAAACTCACATAACAGTTTGACTCACGTTACGTACTTTGTGTAAATAACAAAACTAAAAACGGCTCAATGCAATTTAGTTGATAGATTTTGGGGTCACGTTCGGGTAATATCAGCTTGTTAATATAACCTACTGGGACTCAAAACCAGCATCCTCTCAGATAAAAGTCAAATATTTGTTAAAGAGACCGTTCTATTATTTTCAAACCTTTTTTTGTCTTGTCTGTCCTCAGGTCTGTAACCAAGCGAGTGTGGTCCCCGACACTGAGACCTTTCAGAGTGTGCTGTCACAACAGGAACACCAGGAAAGGCGTCACGGCCGGGACGCTGGAGGAGCTGAAGGAGAGGGTGAGAGTGACTGAGGAAAGGTTCTCAATAGGGTGAAAATATTTTCAGCCAAAAATGTCAAAATAAAATAGAAGATTAAGAAATCTATTAAATTTGAAAAAAGAGAAATAAGCTTTTAAAATTATAAAATTAATTAATAGGGCGAATGATTTCAATGTGGCAATAAAAGAGGATTAAATAATCTTTTAGAAGATAGTTCATTACATGACATGACATCATCTAAAAACATGATATCATAATCTATAATTTTTGTATAGGATCACATGAAGTCATTAGTCAAATATTCACTGCCTTTGCCTGCAGAATATAAGAGGGCCAAACTGCATTTCCAAACGCCAGCTGAATATCAGCTATGTGTACAACAGCTCCACCTAGAGGCTGATCAAATGCATTTTTTCTTGCCAATTGGGTGCCATAAAAACTGGTTTATTAACTGATGACCATGGTATTAACAAAGGCTAAGACTAAGTCCTTAAGATGGCATGGAAATGTTTCCACTCAAGTCCATATCATGTTGAATTATTATTTAATGCTAATAAATGATTAAGAATGAGTTTTGTTTTTTGTTTTTTTTACAGCTGGGAAGTAAATATCACTAATTCATATTCTCTGTATATGACTGCTTACTGTCGTCATACTGACAGGTATGCCAGGCGTTGCTGCTCTCGCTGTCTGCGGTGTCTCTGTCTCTGGTTTGTGAGGATGACGGTACAGAAGTCGACTCTGATGAGTTCCTCATGACCCTACCCGACAACGTCATGCTCATGGCCCTGGAGCCTGGACAGACATGGAGATCACAACAGGTGGGTTTGACCGCAGAAGCTGTGTCTGGGTTTAGGGTGTGCTTTTTGTCTCTTGGTGACAGTTTTCTAATCTCTCTGATGCCCCCCAGGGTGCAGTTGTGCCCAAAGCTCAAGACCACAACAAGTCACGTACTGGGAGAGACATAGCCCGCGTCACCTTTGACCTTTACAGGATGAGCCCCAAAGATGTGTTTGGCTCATTGAATGTGCAGGCCACATTTCAAGGCCTGTACTCAGTGAGTGCTGACTTTCAGTGTCTTGGGCCCAAGAAAGTTCTCAGGTAAGCCAAGTGAAAAGGTTAGCAGGGTAATAAAGGTTCATTTGCATATGTAGTGCTGTGCAAGCTTTCAGTGGCAGAAGAAAAATTCAGTCTTTTAGCATCAATACAGACTTTAGTTTGCACTTAATAAAAATGAACGGACAGAACTTTAGTAGCAATAACTTTAACACGTCACATTGGACTCTATAAAACTTTGGTATACAGAGGAGTTCACAGTCAACTCACTGACTGTAAGACGCCCAAATCATCACCACCTCCACCACCGTGTTTCACAGTTGGTGTGAGGTGTGTTTGCTGATAGGCTGAGTTTGGTTTTCTTTAAATGTGGTGCTGGGCATCTCCACTTTGTTCTCATCTTAAAGGACATTGTTTCAGATGTTCTGTGGATTGTTCAGATGCAATTTTGGCTTGGGCATCAAGGCTTAGGCTCACAGACCTGTTCAGTCTTTTTCAAACTCCACTGTCATTAACTTTAATATTTGACATCATAACTCAGACCTGTAGAGTCTCAGCTGTAGCTACTGCGATTTTGCAGTTTCTCCGAGCATTGCATGACCTGACCCTGAGGTAAATTTGCTGGGATGTTGCATGGTGTTATCACACAGACCAGCAGACTGCCAGAACTTCTGATTCTCAGTTAACAAAATGCATTTGATCAGCAGCACCACAATAATTCCTATGGAAGTAGTAAGGGTGCAGTAAGTGACCTGGTTTCCTGCCTGCTCTGGCTCCAGCCTGTGTTATGTACTTCAAATACATTTTAATAGTTAGGTGGAGTTCAGCTGATCCACACGATAAATTTTATTACACAAATTTGTTTTGATTTTTCTGATATTTCTTGATTTTATACTCCCAGATTAGTACCTCAAATAATAACAGTATAACATCTGAATAAAAGGACACTAAAGAAATACTCGTGTATAAGTCTCAGTTTTCTACAGATTTTGGTTTATTTAACTTTAAACTTTAAAAGAGGATAAGAGAAATAGCAGCTGTCACTCACAGCCAGCTATTAAAAGCTTAACGATCACATTAGATGTTTCTGGTTCAGGCCGAAGAATCTGCACTGACCTTTAATCCTGATAACACTGTGCTGTTTCCAGAGAAGTGCTGCGTGTGGCCTCCACCCTTCTTCAGGCTGCTGGACACCTGCTTCTCACGTCTGCCACCATGATCCGCCGCATCATCGAAGGCGCAGAGCTCTGGCAGCCGCAGAGGGCGGAGTACGCAGCCAGATGGAACTGAGATGGACCCGTTTACATGCAACCTAAAGTAATGAGGTCTTTTGTGTGACTGCTGGACCTGTTTGAGAGCCTCTCAATTTACTCTAACCCTTCAGTACCTACAGTATTGGAAAATTATGTTTTACCTCCTTAAGAAGAGGAAAAAGAAAGCACCTTGTTAAGAGAAACATCTGCTGAGGTAGCATCTGTAAATATTAACTGTGATTGTATGAATAGGTGTCGTATTTTTGTAATCATATTTCAGGTTTAAAACTGATTTTTAATACTTTTTGCCTCTAACAAAGCAAGCTTTAGTAAGATAGCTGGCTAACTTGTGAAATATTACCCACTTAATATCTTTCACAGCAGGGCCAGACCAGTAAAACTCCTGCACTGAGGTTTAACTGCACATTTAATCCTGGACATAGTATGTTATTATAATAAAAAGAAGCGCTCTTTGGGTTTAAATTGTAAGAAATAAAAGTGTAAAATAACAGAAACTTCTGGTAGCTCATTTTCTAGACTGTCTTTAAGTATAAAACTGAACCTAACCTAAATAGCAGAAAATGAAAGAAATGTACACAGTGGTGAAAAAATAACTTCTCTGTCATTTAGCTATTAATTATTTTGGTTTAGTATGAATGACCTGCAGAGCTCTTAGTAGGAAAACATGTAAAATTTAGTGAAAAGCCCAAAATCTACACTCTCCTTCACAGTTTCAGTCCAGGACTGAAGTCTTTATTGGGCCGATTCTTTTGCCCCGGGCCTTATGTTTGACACCACTGTTTTAAAGTGTCCAGTGTTGGTGTAATTTAGTGTGGATTACATGCTGAAACATGTGTCTTCTTTCAAACATCCCTGTGTTTTCTGTCTGCACTGAGGAATAATTTGTGTTTTGCTGTAACTAATCAGCTGAGTCCTGCTGGAAGAGCAATAAAAGTGCTTTTATTAAGACAGTGAAAACAGCTGCACAGCATAAACAGACTAAAACTGCACCTAGAATCCGAATGAGGATCTTTTGAACACACTAACTAAAACAGCAGGAAAAACATGGAATCAGGGGGTCTGTCTAACATGGGACCTTGATAAACAAGTTGACAACTGCCTGAAGAACAGATGAACTAAAAAACGATCCAGCTGTGTTTTTATATGAGCCATAAGAGCTGTTGTGCTATTTCTACTCTGGAGGGATCTTCACATTTTTCTCCTCGCTGTAGCCTTTGTTCCCTTCGAGCATCATAATCCAGGAGTCAATGCTATTGGGCAACTTTACTTTAGTCATCGCGTTCATGTACTGCTGATACATGATGTTGCCCAGTACCTGATGGTGCTCCTCCTCATTCATCCAACGAGGCCTCCCTCTCTTAATGAAATAGCGCATGTCGGCGAACCACTGAATGACCGCCAAGCGTGGCACACCGACCAGCCTTGCCAGCCGGCTGTACTGCTCCTTGTCTGGGTACTGGCATTGCAGGAACGCCATCTTCATCATCGCCAG